TCACATTGAGGACGCCATTTTGTTTGAAAAATCTGATAAATAAAAAACAATTTTTGTCGAATTTTGTTGTAAAAACTATCAAGAATGAAAGAAAATGGTCTCACTAAGAAAATGAATCCGAACACCAATATCTTTAATTCAGTCGTTAACGCTGTACAGACGTTTAAAGTGTTGCTTACGTGACGTCACAATGTAGAGCCAAACAACACGTGCAAAACAATCAAATCAAGTACGCTATTTAAATGTCGCAAACGAGTTAAGTTTTACATTTATTTCACTTTTAATAATTTGCATTTCGCTTGAAAGATAATAGAGTGAAATAAAATAAACAAACAAAGTTTTATCAACGTTTTCATAATTCGTTATTCTCAAAATGTTTCTACACAAGGTAGATTTAACGACAGATTTTTTTTCAAACCACTGGAACAGCCTTTATAGAACGTTTCTATTGGAAACTCTGTGGCGAAAAAAAAATTTAACCACCAAACATAAAGTCCAACTTTATAATAATAATTATATTTTTCTTGACGTGTTAGAATGGAAATAGATATCAATTCTTCGTGTATTATATAGAGGATATTTGTTTGTTTCAGTGTAAGATCGAAAAATATTTCACCGAGTGAACACCAGATGCAATATTTTCCACGAGTGGCGTAGCCACGAGTGAAAATATAATAGCTGGGGTTCACGAGTGAAATATTATTTGATCTTACATGTAAAACAAACAAATTTTCTGTTTATTTCATGATTTTTTAACGATTTTTACACCATTTTACTGATTTTTGCCGCGTAACGTCATGCTCTTATCTTCATGACGTCATCAAATAATGACGTCACAATGTTGAAGCAAAATATAATTCCATGATTATTTTTAGATTTTAGATGTTTTTCAGCACAACGTTCGTAAATATTTACGAACTACAGTTATCACGTACATTTTTTATTATGATTGACTACATTTACGCTGAAAAAAACATTCATTAATGATAAATATTTTATTTTTACGCCAAATATAGTTCGGCTACTGTGAAATTATATTTGGTAATCATTACTGTGAAATTATCAGAATATAATTAACCGTTATAATTCAGTAATCTACTGCAAATCATGTAATAATGTATAATAATGCACGTTTTTCGTTCAAATGCTTAGTAATTAATCACTGAGGCCTATCGGCCTTAGTGATTATATTACTACGCATTTGAACTCAAACCGTGCATTATTCTACAACAATGCACTCAGAATTGATATCTATTTTCTAAATAAAAAATAACTTTGTAAAATAACTTTGTAATTATTCATTCAAAATTACTTTGATTTGCACATTATCAGCTTCTATACCTTGTGCCAACCATTCACAAGTTATCTGTATTTATGTCTTATCAGCCATTTGTTACTTTTAATAGATTTTATTACAACGTGTAGTCACGTGATTCTTACAAAAGAACAGGGAGAAACTGTTTATAATAAATAAAATAATAAAATAGAATAGGTCTCATAAGATATAAACAACTAGATAATTTAAAAGTCATTTCAAATATCATGCATGATTTATTTATTATAAAACAGCAACGCTTGATACTTTGAAAAAAGTAAAAGTATCCCTAAATTCAATGACTAATCCATAGGGATACATCATTAATTCATTTTATAAAAATTGTAATGTTGCTTTTTAAGATGTCAATATTTGAATATTTCATTTCATTGAGCAACGTTATTGTATGTTTGAATCTTTGAGATGACTGAAAAACAATTGTGGTCTTTAATTGTTCAGCAATTGATATGCTTTTATTTTCAGATTTTAAGGCCTTCTCCTACCATAGGTATAATATTAAACTGTTACAAATATAGTCGCCGGTCTCTACCGGCGACTAATAAATAGAAGAAATTGTAGGCAAGAAAGCGTACTAGATTCTCTATAAGACTTATGGAGCAAAAAATCATTTGATACAATATATTTAATGCAATCTATTTAAATTGACTATTTCTAGTAAGAAAGTGGACTTTTTGGTGCAAATGTGTTTCGCAAAACGTTAATCTTTTACTTTATATCCCTGGCCGATAACAAGAAAGCCATTTTAGTTAAATTAGAAAAAACGCTAACGTCTTAATATATGTCTGGCTGAAAAAAGAGAAACATATTAAGCTGATAATTAGGTTCTTAAAGGGACTTCACTGCGTTTTTTGTTTGTTTTTTGTTGTTTTTGGTTTTTTTTTACACGACAGGGATTGGAAATATTTTCCCGAGATTTGTGTACCATTTGATGTGATCATCACCCTCAGCCCGTTTTTCCAGAGTAATTTTCATTGTGCAAAATGCCCATAAATTGCAACGCTTTTCACTCAGATTGGACAAAAAGAAACCGCACAAAAAATCGATTTTCAAATTTAATTTTGAGTATATTTCTTTAGTATCCTTTGCAGTTTTTTTACCATTTTGAGTGCTTCACTCTCGATCTATGTAAGAATTTCTGATTCTACGTTTCTAGGCTTTATGACCTCAGTGGAGTTCCTTTAATCAGTACAGATCACATTTTAAAATAGCTTTCTCTTCGATCATTTCAGACATTAAACTTTAGCTGTCGTATCAGACCCTTCCCGTGATAATTTGGCAGGCACACTGTTCATGTCGTAAAGTTAAACTTACTAAAATTTTAAAGACTTTATAAATAATAATTCTTTTTTTTCTCATAACATTTTTTGTTTGAAATTAAGTTTTTTTTTTCAGACTTTATTTTGAACTGTTGTAATTTGTTCGGTTTTAATATCAAACTATAGACATTAGTTAGCCTGCAAGGCCAGACGATATGTACATGTACATTGTTTTGACTGACAGGAAACTCGATCAGCAGGGGTTCAGGCTCAAATATACAAGGCTTTAGTGACTAACATTTATCATAAGCCAGTGTTTGCTTATATTTTATCCTCAATATGCCATCTTTGATAGAATTTTTTAGGCTTAGGTGCCTTGGGCGCCTCAGCCCATAAGCCCCCACCCCCCTACCCCACCCACCCCACGGTGGATCCGGGCCTGATGTGAGTGACTTAATTACTGTCATCAAGTAAAAAATGAATAGAAATAAATGAAATCATATTTTTTATTAAGTTTATATAAAAAGAAATTATTAACCTGCTAATTTTAATTACTGCATGAGCATATTGTGAAAAATGATTGTTTTCATTGGAAAAGTCTCCTGTTGCAACTATCAAAAATACTCAAATACTGATCAAACTTGGCACATTTGTTAACTGGACCAAAGCCGTTGTAATAGCATGTTCAATCTTAAATTTCCTGTAACCATGGCAACGGCCGGGGGACATCTAAAATTGACAAAAAATCACTATTTTGCGTTGATTTTTTCCATCAAAACTTATTTCAAAGTGCTGCAACTTCTAATTGGATTTAAGATAAAGTCAAAGGCTTTTCAGCTTAAAGGGGCGTCGTCGAAAAGATGATCACGTTTTTAACAACATTTCGTCAAAAACTGAAAAAAAGGTGGTGAAAAGGCTCCAGGATATCATAATTTGAATTATTGCAAAAAGATTACGAACCATTTTTGCTCTCAGTTCCATATCAAATTGAGCAGGTCCATTCTTAGACAAAAACATGCAGAGAAATGTTTACGTTTATTTTGAGTGTCCCTTGAATTAGCAAGCTCATTGTCATATAACTTGTTGAAAATAGTCAGTTTAAATTTTGTTTTCACGGTACTTTTCTCAAAAGGGATGTAGGACTGAAAATAAACACATTTTTGTTAAATTATCCAATATATTCAGGTGTTTGGACATGTTAAAACAATATACCAATTTTTACCCCGATGAATGATACATAAATATTGTATTTTTTACTATTTTAAATGCATACTTATTTTTCACTGAAAAAACCATTTCGACATTAGAATGTTATTGCATGGTTTTTTTATGATACGTTTTATACAAAAAATATTAACAATGAATTCATTAAGAAAATCTGATTAAAAGGATGTCAATTGTCTAAGTGTTATCGCACTATAGTCTGTCCCATTAAAAAAGGAAATGAACTTTTGCCTGGTATGAATTAACAAAACGAGGTTGAATAAAAATTAAACCATTTTTGTAAACTAAAAAAAGTCACCCTCGAGATTTTTCAGGATTTTTTCTCTAAAGTTTCTACTTTTCTTGTATTAAGCAAAGTTATAGTTCTCTACGGCAAGTCTCGTTGTTTATTTTCCGTAGCCATTGGCATGCCGAAGTACTCTTCATTTGAAGATGAACGGGTCATGTTTCTAAAATGTACATGAAGTTCTCGGGGTCGTTTCACGATTATTGAACAAAGCTGAATCTACAAGATATAACAGTTTATTTGCGATGCATGATGCAAAACTTAAAAAAACAGAAATTAGATTTAATAAGCAAACTCACTATGGAATGTTTAATAGATCATAGAATTGCACTTAATTTAAGTGGATATAAATCCTACATGTATAATATTCTGAAATAGATCTTTATAAACGATCGAATTCCATTTAAGTTCCTTCATTGGCCAGTTTTGTCTATCCACATAATTTCCAGTTTCTCCTGAATGACTCTAAACTTATAACTATGATCCATCTTTTAATTTTTTCAACAACATGTAATCTTTCTCATTTCCAACGTTTCCATACTGTATGTGGAGTTTGGGATTTAGGCAAATGAAAATTGTAAAATGAAACACATCATAATTCAGTAAGTTTCAAATCCATTATTCCCAATGAAGGGGTTTCGCCCAATTTTCAGTTTGGTCAACATCAAAAATTGTTTATAATTTCTCGAAAATCGGATTCCTGGCGAAAAATGTACTACATAAGGAATTCTATAATAAATACAGTACAGTAGACGTTTAAATATGATTTTTTTTTTTCAAAACGGCTTTATTAAGTTTTTTTTATTTATATCATGTATATTTCTTATCATCATATAACAAGTTACACTTAATTTTTGTATCATCGACCATTCCTTGCGCCCTACTACCCTGCGCCCCTCGTATAGGTTGAATGCTACTATTTTCCGATAGATGGACGGATGTCCACATGTGAAAATATATTATCAAAATTCTCATTTATAAAACAATTTTCTGTATAACCAAGTAAGTATTATAGATAAGCACGATTTCTTTAATGTTTATTTTTAACTTGTATTTTTTAGAATTGTTTTGACATAGATCTACATGATAAACAGTTATTTGCAAGTATCAAGTATTCGGACGAAAAGATTTCGGGTAAGTTGTGTTCTGAAAGGAAAGCCGGGTACTCTCTCTTTCTGTCTCCTTTCCATACCCGCCTTCTTTCTTAACGGTTAATTTCGGCTATATCCTGGATTAGACCCCGGGTTTAAAACCAGGAGTATATATAAGGTTCATTCCGTTTTCTTTAGTGTATTAGAACCCTATGTATTTTTCAGGTCTAAAACTTGTATATAATACACTAAAGAAAAACGGAATGAACCTTATATATACTAAAAATTGAAATAAAAAAAATGACAAAAGAATGAAAATCTTCTTTCTAACAGTTTTAAAGAAATTAATATACTAAAGAAAACGAAATAAACCTTATATATACTCCTGGTTTAAACCCCGGGGTCTAATCCAGGATATAGCCAAACAGTTTCCACACTTGCAAACCACAGGCTATTCTTATCAAAGCTATCCAGTTGTGTATCCTCATTGGTCTGACATATGGTAGGTTAAATAGTTATTTAAAATACTTTGGTGTCAAAAGATGTGCTGAAGTAAATACTGTGACAAAGCTATATAAACAGGTCTAGGATTTCATGATATTTATGGATAGTTCTAAAAATTTAAGGATTTTTCAATTCATAAATTTACAGATATTCAATGTGAAATTTGCGGTTTTTAGTTTTACACTAAAATCCGCAGCTTAAGACAAGTTTTTTTATTGATTGTTTATATTTACAAGGAAGTGGCTAGCCGTACGGCTAGAACTTTTGGCTAGCCGGATGCGAGTCACGTACGGCTAGCCAAAACACACTGTATTAGCTAGCTGTAAGTCACTTTTGGGAATCAAATCAGTGTTGATGATTAATTGCCTTATTTTATGCACATATACTGATATTTGTCAAAGAAACAATATCAATTTCGAATGGTTACTTTTTTTATTTTTTCGAACATTTTGATAACAAAATATACGAACCAACTAAAAACATTATTTGTGCTCTTATGCATCTTTAAGTGCTTAAAAGCACCTTTAAAGTGTTTTTTTTTTTTTTCGATAATTGAAACAATATGTATATCGTCGTATGTACGCGACACACGTACGGCTAGCCAAAAGTTCTAGCCGTACGGGCCCGTACGGCTAGACACTTCCTATTTACAAAGGTGAGTTTCATCTTTGTATGATGATTTTTGAATTTTTGTTAAAAGTGAAAATTGAAAGTCATCAAATTGTTCTGAATCTTACCATACTGTTACATTTATTTATATAATACCTAACCTTATTCATTTTAACCTGCGGGTTTGAATTTTAATGCAACTTCTGCTATTTTCTAACAATATGTCTGTAAATTTACAGATAAAAAAATTTGTAACATTATGGATCGTCCAAAAAATTTACAGATTGTCCATAAATATCATGAAATCCTAGACCTGATAAAATCAAAAGCTTTTCTTTGGTATAATAGATTTTAGGTAAGAGAGTTATCTCGGCCCTATACCAACTCGGCACACATCAACTCTGCACGGGTCTAATCGGCCCCACTTAGAAAAAAACATATTGAAGGTATTAACTTTTTCTGATTATGTTATCACAGCAAGCTGTTCTGCAGAATTAAAGTATATTAAGAAGAAATTTGTTACGTTTATTCTTGCAGATTCGTTGAAAATTAATATAATGCAAATGTGTTTCCTTTGATGCTTTTTGTTTTTAAAGTACTCTTCAAAAAAATATGAAATAAAAACATGTTAACTTATTATCATAAGCTTCAAATTAGTTGTAGGTGCTCATTAATCAAATTTGAATGATAGTGTCATTCATAATTATCACCTGATTAATCTGTACCTTTAACCCATTACTTCATATACACGCCTTTTAACGCCTTTTTCACCCCCCCCCACTTTTTTTTGTCTCAAAATGATGAAAAATGCCTTATTTAGGCCCCAAACACTTGTTTTTGTTTGAGAAATGTTGTTAAAAAATTGACCTCTTTTTCGGCGCGGCCCCCCAACCAAAAGATACATCAGGGGTTGCCAGAAGGGGATGTGCCCCCTTCTGTTTTGGGGGGTTGAAGGGGGCGGAGTCCCCCTCATCGCCAAGAAAATTTGGACTTGTGAGAAGCTGTAAATGACCCCAGATTGATCATAAGGTAACGTGTAACCAACGCTGAAAAGCATTTGACTCTATCTCAATCCATTGATAAGTTGCAGCACTTTGAAATCAATTTTGATGGAAAAAATCAACGCAAATAGTGATTTTTGGCAATTTTGAGATGTCCCCTCGTTGCCATGGTAACAGAAAATTTAAGTCTGAGCATGTTGTTGCAAGGACAATGGTCCAGTCAACATTTGTGCAAGTTTGATTAGTGTTGAAGCCGTTTTTATAGTATTATAGCAATTTGAACTTGTAACGGGAGACTTTTCAATGAAAACAGCCATTTTTCACAAAATGCTCATGAAGCAATGGGTTAATGAAAAAAATAAAAAAATCTACAAAACAACAATTTTTCTTCAAATTTATATGACAGGCCATGTTTAAACATGAAAAAACGCGATTTAGGGTAATTTCAAGTATTTTCATAATTTTCAGTTAACCCATTACTTCATATACACGCCTTTTAACGCCTTTTTCACCCCCCCCCCCTTTTTTGTTGTCTCAAATGATGAAAAAATGCCTTATTTAGGCCCCAAACACTTGTTTTTGTTTGAGAAATGTTGTTAAAAAAATTGACCTCTTTTTCGGCGCGGCCCCCCAACCAAAAGATACATCAGGGGGTTGCCAGAAGGGGGATGTGCCCCTTCTGTTTTGGGGGGTTTGAAGGGGGGCGGAGTCCCCTCATCGCCAAGAAAATTTTGGACTTGTGAGAAGCTGTAAATGACCCCAGATTGATCATAAGGTAACGTGTAACCAACGCTGAAAAGCATTTGACTCTATCTCAATCCATTGATAAGTTGCAGCACTTTGAAATCAATTTTGATGGAAAAAATCAACGCAAAATAGTGATTTTTGGCAATTTTGAGATGTCCCCTCGTTGCCATGGTAACAGAAAATTTAAGTCTGAGCATGTTGTTGCAAGGACAATGGTCCAGTCAACATTTGTGCCAAGTTTGATTAGTGTTGAAGCCGTTTTTATAGTATTATAGCAATTTGAACTTGTAACGGGAGACTTTTCAATGAAAACAGCCATTTTTCACAAAATGCTCATGAAGCAATGGGTTAATGAAAAAAATAAAAAAATCTACAAAACAACAATTTTTCTTCAAATTTATATGACAGGCCATGTTTAAACATGAAAAAACGCGATTTAGGGTAATTTCAAGTATTTTCATAATTTTCAGTTAACCCATTACTTCATATACACGCCTTTTAACGCCTTTTTCACCCCCCCCCCTTTTTGTTGTCTCAAATGATGAAAAAATGCCTTATTTAGGCCCCAAACACTTGTTTTTGTTTGAGAAATGTTGTTAAAAAAATTGACCTCTTTTTCGGCGCGGCCCCCCAACCAAAAGATACATCAGGGGGTTGCCAGAAGGGGGATGTGCCCCCTTCTGTTTTGGGGGGTTTGAAGGGGGGCGGAGTCCCCCTCATCGCCAAGAAAATTTTGGACTTGTGAGAAGCTGTAAATGACCCCAGATTGATCATAAGGTAACGTGTAACCAACGCTGAAAAGCATTTGACTCTATCTCAATCCATTGATAAGTTGCAGCACTTTGAAATCAATTTTGATGGAAAAAATCAACGCAAAATAGTGATTTTTGGCAATTTTGAGATGTCCCCTCGTTGCCATGGTAACAGAAAATTTAAGTCTGAGCATGTTGTTGCAAGGACAATGGTCCAGTCAACATTTGTGCCAAGTTTGATTAGTGTTGAAGCCGTTTTTATAGTATTATAGCAATTTGAACTTGTAACGGGAGACTTTTCAATGAAAACAGCCATTTTTCACAAAATGCTCATGAAGCAATGGGTTAACATACACGTGGTAATTGATTGGTGATAATGAAAGTCCTTTAATGTCCTTTTCGAATTTCATTTACCAAAATTCTAATAATTATTTAAGAAAAAATCTAACCACGTTTGTGAATAAGTCCATATACACGGATAAAAATGCACCACATGTTTTTTGTATGTTTGGTACACCATATGTTTTCCATATGTAAAGCATATGTGTTTCATATGTTTTGAGAAACATGTGTATAAGAACATATGTTTTTCATATGTAAGATTAACATATGTTAAACAGGACCATATGAAAAACATGTGTCAACAAACATATGTTAAACTCACAGTTATCACATGTTTTTCATGTGAATAAGTTTTCATATGTTAAATATATGTGAACTTTCATGTGTTTTTCATATGATAAATTTATGATTATATATTCTTTAAGATTTACACTTTGAACAGTCTTAATTAGATTCTACATGATTGTACACAAATTCTTAAAAGATTCTTGGTTCAAGCATCTATGTGCTTATTATGGTTATGGGGAGAATAGTCTGCCATTCATTTTTATTCATGATTTTTTCTCCCTTTGTATATGTTAGTGTGAAATTTTAACAATCAAGAACCCAAAACGAAGTGATCGGTAGGGAGTGACCATCATATCATAAATATGATGCTCAAATTAAAATTGATCAATTTTGTAAGTTCCAAAAAGCATTATTTATAAAAATATGACCAAATTTTACATTTTATGTAAATAAAGGGAGGTAATAAAAAGTTTATTTTCTATAAAGTCTAAGTCAAATTTTCAATAAAAAATGAATGCATATATTCTAATGATTACATATAATATGTACAAATACTTGCAGTACATATTTTACATATTCTTCGATGTTTGAAAATTGTTTTATAAGCATAATTATATACATATAATACATATGAAAATTGTTTTATAAGCATAATTATATACATATATATAATTTCACTTAAGTGTGGTGTTAAACACCTAACACTTGTAAAATTCTTATGAATGATCAAGTTCAAACAAACCAAACTCTGGAACACAAGTTTATACCGTTTGTTATGAAAAACATGATTCATGTAAATCCATATGAGAAAAACATAAGTCTATACCATAAATGTAAACATACAGTTCCTTTTCTTGGAGAAACACTGTTTCCTACCATATGAAAAACATATGTTATCCTACCATATGAAAAACATATGTTATCCTACCATATGAAAAACATATGTAATACATGTGTATCCATATGAAAAACATGTCTTTGCATCATATGTAAAACATATGGGGTACTTTTCTTGGAAACACCATATGTTTCTACCATTATCCATATGTAAAACATGTGTGTCACATACGTTTAACATGTGATGCATTTTTATCTGTTTACTACAAAGCCTAAGTATAGAGCTGTATGTAGTATGCAGCATTCAAATAATGCCTCAGGGGTCAGGATTGGCCCCACTTCAGGGGTTTCTTGATATCAAACAGTCTGACAAAGTGAAATTCTAAAAGGTCAATTTCAAGGCAATGTTGAGTTCAAGCCAGCAAAGGGCCTGGAATATTCGGAAGCCATTGGGAGAGGGTAAGACTGCAAAAAGTAAAAAAGCTAAAAAATTTCCTTTGAAAGGATAATTCAGAATCATATTTGTTATGCCATAGGTCACTATAAATCACAGTTTGAATTGCAAGTGATTCACACTTAGATTTGTGTTGTAGGTGCTGACATTTACATACAAACATGTCATCTGGAGGATATCAGAGGGAGTTAGATCTAGCACCAACTGCAACTATTGATAAAGTTGCTTTAAACAACAAGGTAAGAAAATTACAGACTTTAATAAAGAAAGATATACATGTTATTTACCTTCTTCCTTTTTATGCAAAAAGATTTAGTTTCATTTCAGTTTAATAACAAAATGTTGTTTAGTTCAGGTGAAGCAGATATTTCATGAACAGCATAGCCAGGAGTTAAAGATTCAAAATTTTAACAGTTTGTGACTTGTAATTTGGTTAGTTGATGAAGACGTGGGTTTATAATGCCTTAGTGTGCTGTAAAGGAGATTTGATATTGCTATTAGAAGCAGATATTATAGCTCTATCACTACGTACTGCATATCAGTCCCTGGGACCAAGTCACATACCAAAAAAGCATCTTGTTTTACTAAGAATAACTGTAAAGCACAAAATTTACAGGCAACATTAGTGGATATATCATACTCAGTACTTGCAGAGCTTTGGCACCTACATATTATTGTTTTCTTATGTTTTACAGGTTGTGCTAATGAGAGCTATTGTTAGACGATCCAAATTACACCTCATTAATGGTTTAGTAAAGAAAGTTCATAAATTGAGGGACAAAAAGTAAGTTTTACTGTTTCTGAACAGTAATTTCTATATTTTATCCAAATGAAGTGCCTCTTGAATTTTTATTAACTTTGAATTTTTACCACATTATAAAAAATTAAATAACTGAAATGCTGTTTTAGTATGTTTCAAATTGTAATAATTATACATACGTTATACATGTTTGATCTAATGAGATAAAATCAGCATTCTAATCTGTATAAACATGAAACATACAAATTAATATTCATCTATAGTATTCAGGTGTGGTTAAACTGATGATTCTACAGGTTTAGAAACATATAGTTTGGAAAAAAACAGTGTTTAGAAGTATTAACAATTTAACTGACAAATAAAGAGAATTAAGACTCAATTACTTGGAGAACTATGCTTATGAAATCTAATGCCATCTATATCAAATGCAACTATTACAAACTTGTCCAAATATAAATATTTAGCAACAAAATGACAAGTCTCCTAATTATATAAATTTTCTAATTTAAGTTAAAAAAAAAGAAAAGAAACACAACAAAAAAGCTATTTGTTAATACAGAGATATACATCAGAAAGCTGATAATATATGTTGTTGAGTAAACTTGATATTACAGTAAATCAGTTTTAAGTCTTGTCAAATTAAATCTAATTTCACAGACATATTTAAGAATAAGTTATTTTATATTAATTTTTTGCAGTGCTCTTCTGTACTGGTCGGGGACCATCAACCGGACACTTTTTTAACGTTTTTCCGTACAGATTTCATAATTTTTAACCTAGAGATCTAAAAATTTGACAGTTCAGCTAGGTTCTTCTCTTAACTAACAAACTAGTTTGTTTATTTTTGATTGTATTGACACTTATATCTGAGGCTCGACAAGGAGGGTATCAAAATTACCTAAATTGTCTACACTACAGTACCATGTGTCCGGAAAGATATGTACATGATGTGATTTAATTCAGATAAAAGCTTTGTAGTTTTGATTTTTAACATGTGATACAATATTTCAGCAACAAATGCTGAAGTTTTGGATATTCTATTGTTTACTCTGTAAATGATTATAGCTGGTATATGAGGTCAGGCATTGCTTTCTTGACCCCCAAATTTCTACGTATACATTCTTGAAATAGACATTAAAATATAACAATTTAAGGAGGTTGAAATAAATTTATTTACTTTATATTAGAAGAAACATGCATTTATTGTTGATAAAAAAGTGACTGACAACCACTGAACAAAGAAAATACTAAATTAAGCATTTTTGGGGCCGTCCGGGTTTGGTGGTTGTCCGGTTTTGGTGGTCCCCAACCAGTAAATGAGCTATACATGCAAGTCTATTCAATATCACTGATCTGGTTATTTGGTATGGCTATAAACTTGTTATTTGTTTTATGCCAATAAAATTATTTGAGTTGAGTTGGTTTGTCAACTTGATAATATATATGTAAAAACTCCAAAGACAATAATTCTCCCCAAAATGTTCAAATTGTAAAATGCTGACAATCAATTCACCAGGGCACTTGTTGACGAAGCTTCTGTGAAACATGAACTTTAAAAACCTGGTATCATCACATTATGTCGTTTCTTGTTTGGTTTTGAACGTGAAAACATTATATGAGCCGCGTCATGACAAAACCAACATAATGGGTTTGCGACCAGCATGGATCCATGCTGTTCGTTTTCAGTTTCTCTACTTGTTATAGGGTTTGTAAGCGATCAGCATGGATCCTGATCAGACTGCGCGGATCCATGCTGGTCGCAAACCCATTATGTTGGTTTTGTCAAGGCGCGGCTAATATTTTCACCTTGCTTTTATTATAGGGGTTCAGAAGATCAGAAGAAACAAAATAAAAACAAAGCTGACAAAATGCTGGAAGATATAAAAATTATCAAGGTAAGATCAATTTAACTTGTAGATGTTAGTTATAGTAAATTATAACAAGTTGTTAATGCTCTGTGTATTAATATGGTTACAGTGTCTGTTCTAGAAATAGAAAACTAGGGGTGAATTTCCACCCTCACTTATAAAAAATAAGATGGATTTTCAAAAACAAGGGGTGCCAATACAAAATGCAGTAATTGCACAACATTTCATTCTTCCAGCCCATATAAACATCACCTTATAAAATTGATATCAAAAGACAGAAGCATGTTATTGACACATAAAAACAGTCAAAATTACAAGATAATCTACTTTTAAATGGCAATTTGTGTACAAATTTGAAACTTAGAATCAACTTGTAAATGGTGACCTTTTTTCTCTCAACTTAAAATTATTTCATTTTCATCTGATCAATATTATTTCTGATATCAGGTTACTTATCTGATATCAAAATAATTATCATGCAAGTGTAACTGTTATAGGGCAGTTGCCATGGCAGTTTCATGATAAAATTAAAAAGAATCTATAGAATACTTTACTATAGCATCTTTTGTTGTATATACATGCATGTATGTGTAATGAGTGTGTTCTTACTCACTTGGGGCATGCCATCCACATAAATGTTGCATACCTTAAATAACATTTTTGTATCACATAACCTTGACAGTTGAAAATCTTTGCAAATTAAACGTGTAGTGATGTTTTGTTTGTATTACCAGATACTGAAAAACTCATTCTTTGTCTTTTTTTGTACAATCAGGTTTTGAAACCAGACTATGTGTCAAAGTATGCTTTAGGTACAACTGTAAAATTTGAAGAACTGGCAGCTAAGGTATGTAATATTATATGAGCCGCACCATGACAAAACCAACATAATGGGTTTGCGACCAGCATGGATCCAGGCCAGCCTGCACATCCTCGCAGTCTGATCAGGATCCATGCTGTTCACTATCAGTTTCTCTACTTGTTATAGGGTTTGTAAGCGAACAGCATGGATCCTGATCAGACTGCGGGGATCCGCAGGCTGGTCTGGATCCATGCTGGTCGCAAACCCATTATGTTGGTTTTGTCATGGTGCGGCTCATATGTTTGAGATATCAATTGGTTAATAATACTGATTTAATATTTAAATATTCTTTAATTACATTTACATTGTACAAATGGCACTACTGTAGTAAATATATAGAATATTTACCATAATTCTAGTTTAAACACTTCATTTAATGAGGAAATTTCTTGGTTTATAAATGTAAGATTTTCTAAGATAAGATATTTTACAAAACTCAAGTGTCAGAATTTTCTGATGAAATAACGAAAAAAAAAATAATAAAAAAAAATAAAAAGACTTAAAATCAAAAATCTTTAAAAGGAGTTACTTCTAAAGAATGTTATAGATTAATTGTTGGCTACAGTATGTGTAAAGTGGCTTGTTTTCCACAATTACAAATTTCAAATTGTATGTTATTTAAGTGTTTTCTTGTGTATGATAGGCAAGCACTACACCAGAAATGCGAGCGTTAGCCAGGCTTGCTGCACACAAGTTTATAATGCAGGAAGTGGACAAGTTCAGGCAGGCACATGAGGACTGGAAAGATCTTGCAGCATATCTGATGACAAAACATACATCCAGAGACTTCAAGAAGAAGAAAACAAAAGAGACAAGAAAGAAAGTTGAAGCAAACGTTTTAGCCTCAGAAAATCTTGTACAAAAATATCTTGGTCAAAAGTTAGAGGGTAGAACTGATTTAGAAGATGTGGAAAATGAAGATGATGTTAATGGGGGTGACGATGATGAGGTAGATGACAGCAGTAATGAGAATGAAGATATTGATGAAAGAATTCATGTAAAAAATAATATCAGAAATATGAATGAAAGGATGGGGACGTTCAAGAAGACTGACTCAATTCAAGATCAAGAAAGTGATAATTTAGAAGCAGAAAATAGTGATGATGATGAAATCATTGACAATGAAGATGTTGATGATGATGATGATGACAATAATAATGACTCTAATGATGATGACAATAATAATGACTCTGATGATGATGATGATGACAATGATGATGAAGATGATGATGAAACAATACAGGACATGAATGATAAAAAACAATTTTCAAAAATTAGAAAAAGTGAAATTGATACAAAAGAAAGAGTGACAAAGAAAACAAAAGGCAAACATAAAGACCCAGGAGGATACAAAATTACTGAAAATATCCCAAAGAAAAGTGTTTCAGCAGAGAAAGTGGAAGGTGAAATGATTGTTAAGAAATTAAATTTAGCAAAAGATTTTGTAGATGATGATATACCAAAAATACTATTAAGTGATAATGAAGATAAACAAGTAAAACATAAAAGGAAAAGGAAAGATTTATTTTTCGATACTGGGGAAGATCATGACAGCGGTAACCAAGATGGAGATGAAAATGAAATAAATGACAGTGGTGATCATGGGTTTAAAGAAAATGTTAGAAAAATGATGCTAGAGGGAAAAATTTTTGAAAAAAAGCATTCAACCCCAAAAATTTACAGCTTTAAAAACTTTTTTTGTAGGCTCTTTAAAAAACTTTGGGGACCTTTTATGGGATGTAATGGGTAGTCAATATAGATCTAATGAAGACTGGAAAAGAATTCGCCATGAAACTAAAGAACAGAAATTTGGCAGGTGTGTATAACTTATTAGTATGATTTTGGGGCTTTTTAAAAAAGGGACCCTCTTTTTTAAAAGGGTTTTTAAAATAACATTTTCCCGCTTTTTGGAAGAAAATCCCCCTCTTTTCCATTATTTATTGGGATGGGCCAAAAAACCCTTTCAAAAAGCCTTTATGTTCTAGAACCCCTTTATTTCAGTAAAAATAGCTAGACATTCTCACTCAAATGAAATCAAAAGAGAAAAGCTTTATTACCAGTGATAACTCAGCAAATATATTACCAACAAAAACTGAAAATACAGCTGTAGCCTAGTGGCTATAGTGTCTGCTTATCTACCCAGGAATCCTTGGTTCAAGCCCTGCTAGAATCATCATCATGTTTCAGTTAATATTTATATAAAGTTTTTCAAATTTTTTTAGTCCCCCCGAATAAACATTCCCAAATATTTCAAAAACTTCTGTCGTATTAAGCTTAAAAATTCATTAGTTTAACAGGTTTGTTTTAGTGTGGCCAAGTGGGGTTTAAAAAAATACATCAAAACCCAGGGAAATAAATTTGGGTTGGGCGGCTGCGTGGGCCTTTAAAACCCCGTAAAAAGGGGAAGCTGTTGTCAGTGGTCTCTCTGAGGAAAAAAAAACTCATTGCTTAAATACTTTGGTTTTGGGTTTCCCGGAAATGGGTTCAAGAAATGTGTTTAATAAGGGAATTTGTAATAGCTTTTAACCAAAAAATTTGAACCCAAAAAATTAAAATTCCCGTATGAACTTAAAAAAAAAAAAAAATGTAAGTAGCAATACAAGTATGCCATAGTCTTAAATGAAGAACTTCAATTTGAATAAATCCATAAAAGAACATATTACTCAGTATTACTTTTTATATGCAAACATTTTCCCTTGGGGCCTTTTAACAAAAATTTACAAAGAGTTGGGAAAACAGGAAATTTAAAGTATATAGCCCTTTAAATTTTGGGTTTTGATAAGTATTTCTAATCTGGAAAATTATTTTCAAAGTAGGAGTACTTCAATTTTTCTGATAAAATTCACTGTTTTCTGATTAAAGAATAATTAATACTATTAATTATACTTAATATATATTTCAATGTAATACTTTCAGTGGTAGAGGACAGGGTCCAGTGTTTAGAGGAAGAGGTTCTTCAAACAGTTTTATGTCTCACAGGGGTAGGGGTTTTTCAGAAGGTCCCAGAGGAAGGGGTTTTGCAGGTGGTCCTAGAGGAAGGGGTTTTTCAGATGGGCCCAGAGGAAGGGGTTTTTCAGGTGATCAAAGAGGAAGAGGTTTTTCAAGTAGGCCTCATGACCAAGGCTTTGGTGGTAGAGGTGGTGGCCCAGATAGAGGGAGAGTAGGATTTGACAAAGGACAAGGTAGAGATTGTTTTCCAAATATATTTGACTATCACATTTTGAACCCTATGAGCTTAATTGAATTTGGTGGTTTAAAAACATTTAGACAAAGGATAAAGGAATGGTCAGAATTTGGTTCACCTCATCTTTATGGATGCAATATGTGGAATTATTTATGATGTTTCACATGTGAAGAAGTTGACAACCACTTGTAGGGAATAGATAAGAGATTTTTAGTTGTGTTATTCAGGATGACATTTACTTTCAGATTCAAGTTAAAACAATTATCAATATTTATACATGTACCTGCAGTACATAAATAGGGTGGAGGGGTAGGGGCTATAATGGAATCATCGTTTTAGTGATACGGAGAACACATTTAAATCTTGTAATGGAAAACTACAATGTCCACACCATAGATATTTGGCAAGTTGCATTACCTTGTTGTCCTCTGCAAAAGTTATATAAATCATGTGAAGTTACTTAATGCATTGGGCATAGATATTAAGCATGTAACATTGCCCAGTGAACTTTTATAAAAATATATCAATCTTGCCCCTGTGGTCACAAAAGCCTTTGCCCAGGGCCCACTTAGTTTACATAAACTATATAGTAAACATGTATTAAAATCTCACCCAAAATTATAATGCTGATTGCATTGATATTTGGCATGTAGCATAACGTTGTGGTCTTCAGCAAGTTTGTATTTGGGCATATATTGCTTTTGTGGTGCTCTTGTTATCCATGTTAGGGATATCTGTAGATGATTCTATGTAGTATGTCTCATCTGGTCTGTTTGTACAAAGTCTTATAACAGTCTATATACTAATTTTTAGAGACAATGATATCTTATAATGTACACTGTACTCGTCATTTTCTAAAATCAAATACATTCTGTGATTTAAAAAATACAGGAGATGCATGTAGTTTCTACATTTTAATTACAAAATGTTCCAGACCAAGTTTCTCTCTTGTCATGAAATATGAGAAGTTATTTTTACTGTTTATTTTTTTCTATGAACAGGAGGAAGGCAGCCTGATCAGAAGAAGTCAGTAGGTCTACATCCATCTTGGGAGGCAAGCAAAAAACGTAAACAAGAACAGAAGGCTGTGCTTCAAGCATTTGAAGGAAAGAAAATAAAATTTGACGATTAGTAAAACTGTTGTATTACATTTTATTAAAGAGGACATGGATTATGAATAAATATATTTTTAAAGACATGTTTTTATTATTTGTTTGCTGCGGTTGTTGCAAACTTGAATTGTTAAATATTTTATTAGAAACAGAAACTGGAAGAATGTCGAATCAAGAGTGGATAAATCCATTTCTAAGTTAGTTAAAAAATGAAACGTGAAGCATGTTTAAAATTAGACATAGTTTAAATGGCAACAAGTTTAAGTGCAGTTAAAATCCAGTTGAAATTATGTAATGTGCAGCTTTTTTTATTGCCATATAACATTGAATGCTTTAATATGTAAGGTATGTATCCCGTATTAAAATATGCATTTGGTTAGACATAATAATTTTAGCTCGATTATGGAACAAGTCCTGGCATCTACTATTGATTACTTTCTGGTGTGATACGTAAATCATGATGATCCCTGGGGTGAGAGGCAGACACCTTAACCACTAGGCCACCGCTTCCCAAATATGAGCCGCGTCATGACAAAACCAACTTAATGCGTTTGCGACCAGCATGGATCCAGACCAGCCTGCGCATCCGCGCAGTCTGATCAGGATCCATGCTGTTCGCTTACAAACCCTAAAACAAGTAGAGAAACTGATAGCGAACAGCATGGATCCTGATCAGACTGCGCGGATGCGCATGCTGGTCGCAAACCCATTATGTTGGTTTTTGTCGTGACACGGCTCATATACATTTTACAGTGGTATTGGGTTTTCGAGTTAAGGTCCTAAACTTCTAAATTCTTGTACTCTAACATGCCGTTATTAAAGGGCTTTTTGCATTTTTGATAAACATTTGCTTTTCAAATTTACAAAGTTTCAAGTGATCATTTTCCCACAAATTGAGCGCATAACGGAATATACAGATTTACATTTTCAGAGAAGCAACCAAATGCGTGTATAAGTAAAATGATTTTGTAAATTAAATGAGAAAATAAACTTATAAAGATCAACTGGATACATTTATTGATGTATTGTAGATAAATTTCTTACGTCACTTACAGAATCGTTATATTATCCACGTTAAAAATAGACAGCCGTAATTATATGCGTCTAACCGCATAGACACACTTTGTCCCCTTAAGGCAAAGCACTTATGTCATTATAATACCGATACATGATTTTAATAAACCAAAATCATGCAGTTTTGTAATTTTTAAGAACATTTTCCTAATGTTATTCTAGCGCTTCACATAATCTCTAGTCAGTTCTTTAAACTTTTAATTTTTGATGCAATTTCGCGTGAGCTTTTATATGATAAAAACATTACACGGACAATAAAAACAAGCCAGTTGTCGAATCATTGACTGGCTGTATTACGTTAATGATGATTAGTGACCATTATTTACATATGTTTTAGCTCATTAATATATCGTCCAATCACTAATTTACTGTCTATACACGATCACTTTTAGGGAAGTATTCTATCTTTAGAATAGTATATATTTATCTAGGTGTATGTCAGCGAATTATTTATAGTAACGTGAAAGGAAATATATTTGTCTTAAAACGCCGACAAACGTCAAAGCAGCATTAATTGGTAAAGCTTAAAAAAGGTATGTAAGATTCTTGAAACAAAATTATTGTAGATTGTAAAGGGAAATAAAATTTCAATTTGAGAATTTAATACCTGAAAAAAAGCTTCACGTAAATTGAATTATACAGGGATTATAGGCGCGCGATTGATACGCATGTTATAAAAAATAGATTTATACGCATCAACATTTAACAGTGAAATAAAGTAGATTATGTAAACGGTAATCAGGCACATTGTCACCGTTTCAAAGATATTTGGGCTAATTATTTACAATTTTAAGTTTAAAAAGACATTAAATTGAAAGTTTAGTCATCTACATTTCACTGCTTCATGTGCAATACAACAGTATGGAATAAAGACTAATAACCGGTATTAACCCTAACATTAAAAATTATTTCTAACATTAAAATGACGTATTAGTGGTTAGTTTTTGCGTAAATGTGAAACATAATGAACATTTATAATGTACATCTTCGAGAATGTCTTCTAAGTAAAGTTCCCGGTAGCATATTGTTACGTCAATTCAGTCTATATATAATTTCAATTGTGATTGCGGTTTCAGTAGAGTATATATTTTAACTGATTCAAACAAGAGAAATTTCACGATTTTACGCTTTGTTTATAAATATTTAAATAAATTTAGATTCAACTTGCTTTTGTTTAAAGACCTGGGTTTTGTAACACTGGTGATATACATGTAATTGAAGGAAAGTCTGGTGCAGATGTAAAATCAGCTAAACGTTATTTTGTTTACAATTGTATAAATATTAACATTCATTTCAAACAATAAGTTTCAGGACGCTGTTAAGTTAATAGACTTGTATTGTAATGGCCGTGTCGTAACTAACCGGAGTAGTGTATCAGTGAAAGTGAGTAAAGGATCGTCAACACTTTGAAACGGAAACTGAAGGCGAAAAAGTTAAACGAATTCCTTTTGGGTGTTGCCAGTTTGAAGACTGTTAAAGCCCGATATTAATAAACCACAGAAAACTTCGTTGTAGAAAAAATAAGACTACATATAGTTTCCAACAATTTGATAATTGGACGATAGAAATAGATGAACAATAATGAATTTACTTAATATTCTGGTTGTTATGATTGCTATCGTGCTATACTTCGAGCCAATAGAAACTGCAAATAGAAGACGAAAGAAGAATAAGAAAAATAACTTGAAGAACAAACCAATTCATACCGACCCGACGGACTTAAATAATTTGTTGCGTAAGTATTATTATGCTTTATAAATGCATCTGTAACAATATTTTCATGCACTAGTATACAGACCTCTTGGGTGTTGAGCTCCATTGAGACTTATTTTCATTTTCCGAGTTCAAAACATGTGGAACGCGAATATAAAAAAAGCAACAATGCGTAAATGTAACAATGCTAAAAAGCGAAACTGCGAAGAGACAACAGTTATTATTTTGACTTTGACCTTGATGTGACGATTTAAAATCATATCACTTTTGTTCAGAATCATGTATTTACAAAGGCATTTTTTTTTCAAAAAGCTATTTTCTATCAAATCAAGTGCATTTAATGCATGAAATTTAAATAAATAACAATCCTTACTAAAAAAGGGTTGGTTAAATGATATTTATATGATAGTACCACGGGAAGTATTTGTTGTCGTCTTATATAATACCTGGAGCTCATATATACAGCATTTTTACATTTGAGAATTATTAGAAAACATCTTATTTTGCATAATATTGACATATTTCGACACGACCTGATTACCCTTTCATATAAAAATGTAAAACCTTGAAAAAAGGTTTAAAGATACAGAAATGTACAATAATTATATTAAAAAAATGAAAGTTTAACGATCATTTAACATAGCTGGTATGTACAAGGGCTGTCCAAAAAGTTCGTGGACTTCGGCTCTATTGTTCACATTTTTTAATTTGCGTACACAGTTTAACAACAGACAAATAATGGAACATGTCCTTAACATACATTGAAAAAATCAACACAATATGTTTACAAATAACAATTTTGTGTCACTTACAAAAAACAAGGGGCACACGATCCGGCGCACGTTAATGATAAAACAACATGACGTTCGTGACGTCGAAATTTAAATTAAAAATGTCACCAGCGTCATTGCTTCTGAAAAGACATTTTCGAGTGTTCAATGTCTCCGGATCATATAACCATAACCATTTTACTGTGTGTTATGAGAAGCGAGAAAGAAAACGGTCACCTTTTCGCTCCATTTATGTATTTTCTGATCAAAGATCAGTAAATACAAAGCTGACATTCAATCTCTGACACAGAAGTTTCACGACAAACCTAACAACAAGTAGTTCTCAAAACAGCTTAAAACGAGCGATTTAAAAGAAAGAAATATTTTTATTTTGTTACAAGTATCCAACAAATTACAACGCATTCAAAGTTTAAAAGTAGCGTTGGCAATAAATGCACAATCACAAATTACGCGGATGAATATGATTTTAATCAATGAAAATGCAATTTTTAGCGATGTCGATTACCGAATATTACACAAATAAATCTGACTGCCTAGTAGTGCGCTACATGTCGGACTGTTTGGGCGAGAAGATTTTCGCTAAATTATTTACTTCAATTTTAAACAACAGGTTTATCCTGAACAAAATACCTCGAAATTAATAAGGATTACAAACCCGAAATGCAATGGAAGTTCTAAATTTAGAATGACTTGATTTTATTCAGGCATTGTTTGTATAACTTCTCCGTGGTGCAGGGGTAACGCGCTCGTTTAGTGTGTGAGAGGTCTGGAGTTCAAATCCCAGTCGAGGCAACTTTTTTTAAATTCTTTTTTAAGTGTCTTTGTTAAGGAAGTAGCCATGATATGCAAGGATAAAGTGTGGCTGTCATAAAAAATGAACATAAATGATTTTTTGATGCAACTCTAGTTATGCAAAATTCCGTATGTATCAAACTCTGGTGCCTTGCAAGATGAATTATAGTACATAAAAATAAACTTATACAGGAAAATACATACAGATATACAGTACGATTTAGATTGCAAAGATCAGAAAATACCACCGAGCTTGCAGCCCTTTGACTCGTATAAGGGCCCCGAGAGACGACCAGTTTGCGCTCTTTATTGCCATTTTTAGTAATATCGACACACGGACAGTGTTATCAAGTAGATTCATTTATCAGTTGGTGATTTATAATATTAATTTAAAACCACCATCTTTAAACTTTAAACAATATGATTCTCAACAGACAATTATTATCTGCGGTAAATCAGCGCTTAGTATTTATCATCAAACAAATCAGGGAAAATACATGTAGTACAAACAGTAACTACATTTGTTTATTGTAAATACGCATATATCCTGATGAATAAAATAAAATATTCTTCAAATTTAATTGTCTGGTCAGAATTGAATGTGCAGACCCAATGCAGAAATTAAACATGCCGTACAGCTCGCAAACCTTTCATTACAAACGTCCTGACAATTCGCCGCTTTCTCAAAAAGTTCGTACATGCACGTTATATTATCGCTCGCATTTAGAAACGTCCCTTGTATCGTAGGGTTTATTTTTCTGATGGTGATTTCCTTTTTCAGATATCTGTTGAATATACTGTATTGAGAAAAAATTCAAATCGTTTACTATACTGTAGTAGGACATTGATACTTTATTCTTGCATAAAAACCGCGTGCGCGGATATGCATTCATGCCATAACTGATAGATTTTCGTGACCAAGCGTCTTTGTTGCACGATTTCAATGACGGACCAGGAACTTTTATTATCAAAACGTAACTTTCAAGTGATGTCGCAATGGCACAAACGAGCAATAGTTTATAATACGAATACAAATAACGAAACGCGGAAAACCTCCATAGAATGTATACTTTTATGCAAGAATAACAGCGCTATTGCACCTTTTTTCTTGTATTAACAACTGCAGAAACACTTGGACTTATTCAATCCGTCTCCCTGTATCCTCGTGCTGCAGCATTTAAATAAACAGTCTGAATATGAATAATGACACTTTTTCCATTGAAATCTTTTTATTTTCTCATACAAGCTAAATGTCGAGGCGGAGACAATGAAGGAATGCCGTCATTATTCAGCGGGATGTTTCTGTCACCGAAAGAAATTGACATTCTAGTTGAAGATACTAAAGAAGAAATGAAACCGTCTGTTGCAAGAAGGTCGAGAACGAGATTCGTGCAGAAAAACAGACTTTCTAAAAGAATTGGGACTTTTTCAACATCATCCAGTCCGAAAGATCAGACATGCTGTGAAACGTGTGTTTCTTTAGTATTTTCCCAATCATCATAATCATCATCACCGTCGTCGTCGTCTTCATTGCTTTCATCATCATCATCTTTACCGTCGTCGTCATCATAGATATTATCATCATCATCATCTTAACTGTCGTCGTCATCATAGATGTCATCATCATCATCATCATCATCTTTACCGACGTAGTCATAATAGCTATCATCCTCATCATCTTGGTTGTCATCGAAATCATCTCTTCTTGTTATCCCCTCTTCTTTCATACACATCATTATAAGTGTCGTTATCGACATCAATTTTGTCATCGTTGACGAATCATCATAACAATATGATTGTCACTTCTTTGAAAGTTAAAAAGTTGTATAAAGTTAAATTGCTTATAGTTCAAGTGTAATATGCAAACAAAATGGTATTTGGCACTATTCAATCATTGATGAATGTGTGTGTTTGTTGTTGTTGTTGTTTTGCTTATTTTCTGGTCATGTTTTCATTATGGATGTTTGCAGTGAACTTAAAGTTACGGCCCCGGGACAGGTGATGGTGGATGGTAAATCAATGTCTGTGGTACATATGAACCATTCCTACCAGTATGTACAGGAGGGGGAATGTGTGTAAGTAGAAATAGTGTCTACTTTAATTTAATTGAAATTCCGTATAAAATCAGTACACAATCACTTAGTTATCACGAAATTGTTTCCTAGTACGTGTGCAAAATTACCTCCCTGAATTTAGTAGAAAGTTATCCCTCTTAAATCGGACCAAAGTTGTTTCCCTCAAATAAGAATACAGATGTTTTCTTAGAACCAGAACAATATTATTTCTTTTTAAACCATTAAACAAACGCCTCCTTCAAATAAGTACGGACAATGTCCATTGTGAACCAAAACAAAACGTTTCCATTTCCATTAAAGTAAAGACAAAGAAACTTTATACGTTCAGAATTTGTTTGTATATTTTTATTTGTCCATTAAAATTGCTGCTTCACGAAACTTATTTGATAGGTTTCAGGTCGCACCAAAAAGGGTAAAATGATTAGCTAAACAACGAGGGTAGAATTTATCTAAATAAGAATTTACGGAAAACGCAGACTATTCACGAATTACATTTATCTTGACATATTTTTTTAACAAAATGCTTTAAATTCCCAGCAGTTATTCTAACCCACAGTATTGCGACGCTATATATAGTTCTAACAGTAAAACTTAATTTTTTGACATAAAATGTTGCGATGACGGGTATCTAAACAGTTCAATACAATCTTATTTTGACTTTCGTATTTCAGCAACCCTGGCAGATCGTGTCGAGGAATCGGAATTTGTACCCAGTCGTATAAGTATTCATTCATGCTTCTGTACGACCCTGATTTGGTGGGAAAAGTTAGCCCGCCGGTACGATATGGACGGGTTCCAATCAAGTCACACTGTGAATGTATGAATATAGGAAGAGTTGTTAAATAATATCAGGAATACTTGCAAATTGGCATTAAAATAAAATAGATTATCTTGTTTTACTGCGGGAGTCGTTCCAAATCAGAGATGAGTGCATTTTAAATGCCAACAAACTAAGTATTTGGTGCTTCAGTAAACAGATATTTGTATGATATAAGCGTATGGACAAGTACGATTTTTTATTCATAATTTCAAATGCGAGAAGCTAATGTTATTCGGAAACGTTGATGACATCTTTGTGCCTTACATGTTCCCCTTTCATTCGTTTTAGTGTACAATGTTTTCCAAATAGTGTTTCTTTAATATTGACACAGATGCATTTTCAATAAATATGACATAGATGAAAATATTTGTTTTTTTTGTTTAGAGTTTGCAGAGGTGAAAGAATTGCGTAGATGTGTGTGATGATATAGCATTTTACAAAAACATTGTAATATTGGTTTAAAGGACCATTCCTCAGAAATGCTTCCATTTTCATTTAAAAGCTTTTTACTTCAAGTGTCCTGTTATAGTTTCCAAAAAGCTACTTATTGGCCATTTACCTGAACCTTTTTTATGTTGCTTTTTTGGCAATTAGTACAGTTAGAGTGATAAAGTATTTTGTATAGAAGTTTAAATACTACTTTGTTTACATTGTGCCACTTTTATGACAAATGATTTCAGATTAGCGGTACTTTCTTCATATGAAAATTAAGAATGTAACATGCTCAGAAACCATTATTTAAACAAAAAAATAATCATTTTTACTTTTCTAAAGAGAGAAATATTTTTTAAGATGAGAATGATCTAAAAGCTTTTTATTATAAATGCAGGGACGCCCAATTTAGTACGATAAAAATATGGGGATTAGATTTTGCGTTTCAGCATTAAGCTACCAGTTTTTTAGCTCACCTGAGCATGCTCAGGGTGAGCTTTTAGGATCGATGATTGTCCGTCGTCCGTCGTCCGTCGTCCGTCCGTCGTCCGTTCACATTTTGTTGTTAACACTCTAGCGGTCGCATTTTTGCCTCAATCATCATCAAACTTGGTCAGGATGCTTATCTAGTTGATAGCTCGGATGAGTTCGAACATGGGTCATCTCGGATGAAAAACTAGGTCACAAGAGCTAAAAATAGAAAAACCTTGTTAACACTCTAGAGGTCACATTTTTGCCTCAATCATCATCAAACTTGGTCAGGATGTTTGTCTAGGTGATAGCTCGGATGAGTTCGAACATGGGTCATCTCGGATGAAAAAGTAGGTCACCGGAGCTAAAAATAGAAAAACCTTGTTAACACTCCAGCGGTCACATTTTTGCCTCAATCATCATCAAACTTAGTCAGGATGCTTATCTAGTTGATAGCTAGGATGAGTTCGAACATGGGTCATCTCGGTTGAAAAACTAGGTCACAAGAGCTAAAAATAGAAAAACCTTGTTAACACTCCAGCGGTCACAATTTTGCCTCAATCATCATCAAACTTGGTCAGGATGTTTGTCTAGGTGATAGCTTGGATGAGTTCGAACATGGGTCATCTCGGATGAAAAAGTAGGTCACCGGAGCTAAAAATAGAAAAACCTTGTTAACACTCTAGCAGTCACATTTTGGCATCAATCATCATCAAACTTTGTCAGGAAGCTTGTCTAGGTGATAGCTCTGATGAGTTCGAACATGGGTCATCTCTGATGAAAAAGTAGGTCACTAGAGCTAAAAATAGAAAAACCTTGTTAACACTCTAGCGGTCACATTTTTTGCATCAAACATCATCAAACTTGGTCAAGATGCTTGTCTAGGTGATAGCTTGGATGAGTTTCGAACATGGGTCATCTCGGATGAAAAAGTAGGTCACCGGAGCTATAAATAGAAAAAACTTTGTTAACACACTAGCGTCACATTTTTGCCTCAATCATCATCAAACTTGGTCAGGATGCTTGTCTAGGTGATAGCTTGCATGAGTTCGAACATGGGTCATCTCGGATGAAAAACTAGGTCACCAGAGCTAAAAATAGAAAAACCTTGTTAACACTCCAGCGGTCACATTTTTGCCTCAATCATCATCAAACTTGGTCAGGATGCTTATGTATTTGATAGCTCGGATGAGTTGGAACATTGGTCATCTCGGATGAAAAACTAGGTCACAAGAGCTAAAAATAGAAAAACATTGTTAACACACTAGCGGTCACAATTTTGCCTCAATCATCATCAAACTTGGTCAGGATGTTTGTCTAGTTGATAGCTTGGATGAGTTCGAACATTGGTCATCTCGGATGAAAAACTAGGTCACAGGAGCTAAAAATAGAAAAATCTTGTTAACATTCTAGTGGTCACATTTTCGACTCAATTATCATCAAACTTGGTCAGGATGCTTGTCTAAGTAATTGCTAGGATGAGTTCGAAATCGCATGTGAAACTAGGTCACCGGAGCTAAAAATAGAAAAATCTTGTTAACACTCTAGTTGCTACTGTTTTGATCCAAGTATCCTGGAAATTGGTCTGAAAGTTTGTTTTGATGATTTCTAGGTCAAGTTTGAATATGGGTCACCTGGGTAAAAAACTAGGTCACACTGCTCAAATATGGATAATCCTTGTTAACACTGTAGTGGTCACATTTTTGACTCACATGTCATGAGACTTGGTCAGAATGCTTGTCTAGGTAATTGTTTGGATGAGTTTGATGGGTCAGGTGAGCGATCTAGGGCCATCATGGCCCTCTTGTTATTAATATCTATACATGTACTACACACTTTCAATAATTAATGTGGATAAAAAAATTGCATTATTATTGAATATCTTGTGTGTACGTACATTTAAATATTGTTATGCTTCTTTTCTAAACATCTTTTTCTTGTGTATAAATATGTATGCTAAATATATATGAAACAATCCAGTTCGAATTGCAATGATTGCAGTAAAATGAAATGAAGAGCATAGCTATACGTGACATAGATATCCCTATATTTTTCAAAATTAAGTCAGGTGCACGGTAATTGGTAAATTTATATATGTCACCCATAAGGATATGTTTTAACCCACATTAGAACCATAGAAAGTTAACACTAATAAACTAATAAATGTGTTTTTTAAAGCAAACAACGGGTCATCAATGACCGTCATTGTAAAGGGAAATTCCTACAGATGAGTCGAACAAAAAGATCAACTCAATCTTTTGCAAACAAATTGTTATAAATGACTCTAGATAGAATGAGCGCTACTTACTCTGCAATTAATCGAAAATGTTTTTTTCGAAGAAATGATACCACAAAATGACGACTACAAGATTTATGTTTTCCCTGGAAAACCAGCACTGATTGGTTAACTAAAAGAAGTCATTAAGCGTTTTACACTCTTCCTGGCGCAAGGTAGATATGAAAAGACTTACATAACCCACGATAAATGTTGAAAAGCCAAGTTGTTTACAGGAGATGTTGCAAATCGCCAAGCAGCTCTCGTGTGAATTTTTAAATTTTATTCGTGCAAATTTCTTTTTAAGTGAAAAACATACATGTATTGTATTTTTTAAGAGCTTACTATATCACCAGGGGCATGTATAAATGTCTTTATTTCATTCATTGCAGATTAAAGTTTACTTGCCGATGGTGGTAATAAGACCCAGAAAGCATAATTGCAGTATTACGGGAAAACAAAAACAAAACAAAAGTAATTTTAGGTTCCTTTTAAACAGCACTTATTGTTATGACAATCGAATTATATGTATCAAACAGAAAACAGAAACATAAAAAAACACGGAAATATTGCTGACTCGGTTTGATTTAGTGATAAAACCGTCTTACCGTCTCGGAAAAACAACAACATTCAAATATGAAGTAGTGCTTTATTCAGAATTTTTAAAACTTCACAGATAAGTCCATAGGGTGGTTATCAGTGTACATTAAATTATGACACTTTCGTGCCAATCACAGAACAAATGGTATATGATGATCCCAATTTAAAATGAGAAATGAGCCATGCCATGACAAAACCAACATAATGCGTTTGCGATCAGCATGGATCCAGACCAGCCTGCGCATCCGCGCAGTCTGATCAGGATCCATGCTGTTCGCTTACAAACCCTATTACAAGTAGAGAAACTGATAGCGAACATCATGGATCCTGATCAGACTGCGCGAATGCGCAGGCTGGTCTGGATCCATGCTGGTCGTAAACGCATTATGATGGTTTTGTCGTGACGCGGCTCAAATGCTCTCCAAACGAGCTACTACATGATGGTAAATCATGAATGCCAGATGTCTTAAATTACCATGCATGTGGTTTTTGATAAAACAAAGAGTCATTAATCGTTATTTCTAATGTCTCCTGTCAGTATGATACATTATTAATTAACGAAATTGCAATACAAATGTAAATAAATATATAAATAATTTACCCTCTTTTACGTTCTTTTTAAATACGTAATAAGAAATTAAAATTAATACTATATTTTTGGTTTGTGACACATAATGATAAGAAACGTTTAAAATTTTCATTCACCGTCACATTACCCGAATCGGATTCGAAAGTTCATCTGCTGTTGAAGTTAGAAAGGTCTTTATTCATCAAACAATGTTTCATATATTTAAGTCCCATTATGCCAGAGAAAAACTCGCATTGTATACAAGAACCTGTACAAAATTTACACGTTCAAATCGTAGCGACAAATTTTCCTCGTCAGTAATCGGAAAATATGTTGAACGATTTGTCGTCTGAATCAGTGCAAAACAGTTTTAGCAACATAGTGGTATATAGAGGATATTGAATGAGTGTCAGTTCAATACTGGATTTCTTTAACGAGTTGAATAAAATTATATTTTATTCAACGAGTTCAATAAATTCAGTAATGAACCTACACGAATATAATATTCTATTTATCACATACCCAAAATAAAAAAAACTGTATAAAGTTAAAATGGGAATCATTTTTTCATTGACGCGCCTATAATGTAACGTTAACATTTAGCGCGTCATTATACACTATGTTTGTTTAACGAAAATGACGTCCTGTCAAAATATATGCACGGCCGTGGTATACCATTTTTACGGAGTCGCAAAAGCGACACAGGTATGTGATCAATGTAAATTCAAAATATTCATATGGTATCGTCTACTAGCAGAACTATATCAAGAAGGGATTTGATTTTCTCGAGTTGACAATGATGTTAACTATCCGAAGAATTATTTTAATAATCACATTTTCTTACTTTGTTAGTCTGAAATGCTTATTTTATTCAATTTTGATATAATA